CTTCCAAATTTCTTAGCATAGCTGAGTGAGTGCCCCCATTGCTGCATCAGTTTGTTGAAAGATTTCAGTCTATACTCCATAGATTCCCGGAGCCTTGTTCTTTGCCGATGCCTTCAGTACATCTTGAACTTGTTCCTTCAGTACCATTGCCTCTTTTTTTTTTTTTAAAGTTTTTATTGTGAATTATGTGAGAGTTCACATGGGAGAATATTAGTTTTACATTCATCCTATCATATATCGTTTAATTGCAATGATTACAATCCCCTCAATGCATCATCAAACAGTCAAAGGGTATACACCCTGCAAGCCTGCCCTCCAGCCATCAGCTCACAACCCCTCTCCCTCCCTGGGTCCAGAGTCCCCAACCATTCCATCTCTCCACGTCATCGTCTCTGCCTCCATCTGACATCACTGCCTCGCTGGATAGGGTCCCGCACTCTGCTCTTCTCCCTTGATTGTCCCAGGGACCTCTGCTCCTGGACTGCAAAATCACTCACTCCCGTCCCTTTTGTTACAAAACGTCTACCTTTACATTTCCAACCCTCACAGTCAGTCCTGCTAGCAATTATTCACTGTTGTATGACAAGAGTCTTATCCCCATCTCCTTTCATCAGCTCCATCCAGACAGATTGGAAACCACTCAGTAGAGATTCTGCCTTCCCCCACACCCTTTGGAACTAGGCTCCCTCTTGAAAGCTTGTAAGCCAGTCACTTCTTGCCTTTGTAGCTCCCCCATTTTGGGTAGCTGATGTCTAAGTTACCCATCCCTGTCAACCCTGTCAACCCTGTATACTGAAAGGATGGGAATGATCGTCACTGTAAAGATTTGTTTCCTCTTTTGAGCTACTACATTTATAAGTATAGGTCAAGTTCATCACATTGTAGCAGTTTACTCTTTTTTTCCTATTCTTTCTTCTTCTAATCAAGTTCTGATCATCCAGCCATTGAAGCCAGGTCAAGTGGATAGTATCTGTAAATATGGGTGGGTGTTCTTTTGCATCTCCCCTCACTTCATATCAGCTGGATGCTTCACTCTCCACTCTAGTCCTCTGTGACCATGTCACTGTCTCTGGGCCCGGGAGTCCCCAGGTCTTGCCATACTGCTGGCCAACCAGGTCTCAACCTGGGTTCACACAAGAGTCTATTGAACATGGTCAGACTTAGCTCAAAACTTCATTGCTGTTTTTCCCCCACTTCCCCTTATTGGTGACCAATGTGGTCACCATTGCCTCTTGATGCTATGCTCTCTTGAAATGGTTGAACTTTGACCATTGCTTTTTGGCACAATGACTGTATACTCCTTCCGTCTTTTTTAGATGCTTTCTACATCATTCAATATTTTACCCATAGAATCCTTCAGTATTACAAGTTGAGGGTTGAATTTTTAATTCAGTTCTATTCAGCTTGAGAAATACTGAGTATATTCTTCCTTTTTGGTTTTCTAACTCCCTCCAGGCCTTTGCACATTTCATTTATATTTGACTTTGTCTTTGCAGAGCTTCCCTTTGAAATGTTGTATTCATCTCTTTTACCTCCTTATCTCTTTCGTTTACTTTAGCATCTCTATGCTGGAGACAAAGTTTCAGAGTCTCTTCTGACATCCGTTTTGGTCTTTTCCTTCTTTCTTGTCCTTTTAATGACCTTTTATTTTCTTCCTGTGTGATGTTCTTACATGCATCCCACAGATCTTCTGGTCTTGTGTCATTAGTGTCTATTGCATCAAATATGTTCCTCAGATGATCTCTAAATTCTGGTGGGATATATGTTCCAGGTCATATTTTCGTTCTTATGGACTTGTCAGCCTGAATTTGCATAAGAGCAATTGCTGTTTATAATATGTAAGTACTGGTCAGAGCTGGTAGGCGAAAATGAAACAAGTCTAACAGTATTTCAGTTACTTGTCCTTCAGAAAGTTGTTTGTCTGCAGACTGATCAGTTTACAGTTTATTGCTATATTAGATAGATTTTCCTTATTAGAACAAACTAATTTTTCCAAATACTTGCTTTTCCAATGTTAATATTAGATCAAGTATGATAAGTAACTTCAGCCATTCCTTTTTGGCTGTTTAATTATGTTTTTTTAGTCGTAATATATAATGATAGGTTATTTTATTGCTCAGTCTTTTGGAATAACATTTTGCATGTTAAAAACTAAAACATTATGTAAAACCCTAAGCCATAAAGTTTGCATTTGGCAAAAATGTGCCTATAGCCTCCATTTAGAATAATCTCTGGAGAACAACACAAATATTCCAACAGTGCTGCCTTCAACCACAAAGTTTATTGGAACTATTTAATGAAGTTGTTCTCAATGCATGTAGCACATTCCTTTTGAGCATTTTTAATGGTGGTAAATGGTAGTCTGTTGTGATTGAAAGTTGATGTTCCTTTCTAGAGAGATGTTGTAGTAGAAAGCAAATGGCTCTAATAAGGCCGAGTTTAGTGTGGAAAGAAGATGAAGCATCGAAAGTGTTACTGATGGAACCCCAGGCACTGTGGTCTTTAGTCACCACTCTTCAGGTTTGGAAAAGAACTCACCCCCATGGCTCAATTTTTGACCAAACAGTTGTTGTTAAGTGCCATTGAATTGATTCCAGTTCATAGCCACCCTGTATAGGGTTTCCAAGGAGCACCTGGTGGGAACTACTGACTTTGTGGTTCAAACTGACCTTGTGGTCCAGTGCTTATCCTGCAGCACCACACCAGGCCTCCGGAGAATAGAGAGAACTATAAGGGGAACAATAACACACCTTAGAATGATCAACCATTTGAAACCAAGAGGGCATCATGTACCAGAGGATAAAGTTCTGAAGGGTTAAGAAAGAAAGGAATGGAAACAGGAAACACAGGGTGGGAGTGGGATAAGTGTTGTAATGTTGTGATTGCAATCAGTGGTGTGAAACAAAATGTGTGAGAATTGTAGAATGGAAAACTCAGTTGACAATAGAAAGGTAAAAAAACAAAACCAAAAAAAGTAACTTGAGAAGAGCTGTCTGAACATTATACATGTCTTGGGTGGGAATTTAAAGAGCATAGCCTAAGAAAGGCAGCTTATAAGGGAAAGAGTGAAGGCTTGAATTTTTTCTTCATATCTTTTAGCTTGAAAAATGCTTAATGTGTTCTTCCCCTTAGGTTTTCTAACTCCAGGTCTTTCCATATTTCATTATAATACTTGACTTTGTCTTCTCAAGCAGCCCTTTTAAATATTCTGTTCAACTCTTTTACTTACTCATTTCTTCCAATCACTTTAAATTCTCTACTCAAGAGTAAGTTTCAGAATTTCTTCTGATACCCATTTTGGTCTTTCTTTTTTTCTTTCCTGTCTTTTTAATGACCTTTCTGCTTTCTTCATGTATTTATGATATTTTTGATGCTATCTTGTATCTTGTCTGTTATTCTGTTATTAGTGTTCAGTGCTTCAAATATATTCTTGAGATGGTCTCTAAACTCAGGTTTTCCAGCATCATAGCAATGCATAAACCACCACAGTATCATAATCTGACAGATGAATAATATGCTTGAGCAATAGGACTTTTTTACCAAAGTCGGTATCTCAGACTCCTAGCAGAGGAGATGGTAGGCCCAACTGGTAAACACTCAATCAGTAACTATTTGTCAAATTGCATATATTTGAGCATTTAAGGCTGATTTTTTAAATGGTACTAAAAGTACTTGGATTTTTAGGGAACACTTGAAATATTGTTCAGATAAAAATGTCAGGTTCTTTTAATTTATAAACAGACTAAATCATATTTACAGTTAAATATTTATCATTATCATTATTATAGTATAAATTTCTATTTTTAGAACTTGAATTTCTGGTTAATTGACAGTTCCCTTAGTTATAATAATATTTTCCATACTGAAAATTAGATCAGGAAAGGGTTTTATTGTCTTTGGTAATGGAAAGATACTCTGAAATATGGTGGGACTGCCAATATACTAGCATTTCCAGGTCTTCCAACTACAATGAAGAACAGTAGTTGAAAAGATACTAGTCAGGAAATCTTGGTTCTATTATAGTATTTAAATATTACTTTTGTTTTAAGATTTTAATAATAAAGTTGTTAAGAGTAACCCTAAGAATATCAGGATAACTCTGCATAGTGTTCATTCAGTTTTTCTCTCTTGCAGAAATATTTAAAACACCAGTTAAAATGTGGAACGTGGGTGATTCACTTTTATTTTAGTCATATATGTATACAGCATTTTAATTAGCTTGTTTGAAGAAAAAATTTCAATGTCCATATTACAAAAAGGATATAAGTAGCTTATAAAAACAAATAGAATTTTTTTCAGAACATTAATATTTATTGAAAGCCTAAACAGTTTACACACAGAAATTATACAATTATATACCACTTCACAAAGGCAGTGTACATATTACATTCTACAAAATAACAAATGGAATTTTAAAATATAAAGAATATTACAAATGAGGAAAATAAAATGTACAATAGATAATATGGAGCGACAGGTAAGGTTAACATGAACAATACCTACAGAGGGCTCCTATATTCTTGTTATAAACGAACCACAATTTAGCTCATAATTATAATAGTAAAAAAAGAAGTGCTCCATTCCTTCCAAATAATTTTCTTTCCATTTTACAGCCTTTATTTATATGAGAGAAAGAAACCTGAAAAAATAAAAAAGGCTGAGTTTTTACTACTTTTATTTGTTTGTTTGTTTTTAATCTGGTAACTTTTAGTTTTAAAAAAGTGCTGCTTCTTAGCATGTAATGGGTTTATTATTGCTGTTTATGTGAATTAAAATCTTTTTAAACTTTTCTATTTTAATTTCTAATATGGTAACTGTTGGCATATGTAACCCTATAAGCTAAAGCACTTTGGGGCTTTAAATAAACTTTCAGTGTGTAAAGGAGTCCAAAGGCCAAAAAGTTATAAAATATATTTCATTTATTTTAAATTCTCAGATATTTAATTTTTTCTTACACTTTACTTTTAGTTTTCCTTTCATGAAGTAAAATATGTTTTTAGGTTTCTACAAGCCTCAGGAAAGATCAGATTACTTGATGTTGGCAGCTGCTTTAACCCATTTTTGAAGTTTGAAGAATTTCTAACTGTTGGCATAGACATTGTACCTGCTGTAGAGGTAGGTATGCATAGTTTTGTCTTGTTCAAAGTTGAATATTTTACATATGAAAAAGTACTGTCGTAACACCCATGAAATAGTAAATATATTCCCTGTTCAAAAGATGTTAAGAGATAATTTCTACTTAAAACTACATTTATTTTCTTTGAAAATTTTTGTATATTTAGTGTCCAGCATCATATTTTTCTTTAGGCATGACAGTATAGTAAAATCATTGCAATCAGGAAACTTGAAAGATTTCCAAATAGTTATTTAGACTTCCTGTTTGGTTTGGTTTATTAATGTATTACTTTCTGAAATGTATTGTGATATAGATCCATTATGAAGTGGTAAAAAGAACCAAGGTAAAATGAGTCAGCCAAAACTTTATGATTTCAGCTATTCATACTTGAGTAGATGAAATAGTAGGCTATTTCCCCTGTGTGATGTTAAGTAGTTTATGTGGTAAGAATAAACATTTAATTCACATTTGGCCTGGAACGTTATAGTTCAAGAAATGATGGATATTATTCTCTTTTGAGAACATCACAGTGAGTCGTTTTTGTGATGACCACAGTTTGACTAATTGAAGCAGAGGGGCCTCCTTATCAGCTCCAGGCTTCTTTTATCTTATTCACATGATGCCAGGAGTTTGTGTTAGGGTATTTTTTGAAGATGGTCTATTCAGAACAGACAAATTACTTATTTCTATCAGAAAAATGAGATTTGCTTTGATAACAAATTGATGTTTGCTGATTCATTTTTGCTATAACTCTAGGCACCATATTTAAAAGATCCAAGCCTGACTTACAAAGATGGATACTACATTTTGTGATATGAAACACACTGAATGTGATTGTTGTTACATGCCGTCAAGTCAGTTCTGACTCTTAGTGACCCATGTAGGTTGTCCAAGGAGCGGCCACTGCCTCTGTGGTTCAAAGTAACTGTGCAACCCTGTGCTTTTCCTACAGCATCACACCAGGACTGAGTGTGGCTAATGGTGCCTTAAATATTGCAAAATAAATGGTAAAGATATAGCAACAGAGACTATCCAAAGTGAAACGTGGCGAAGAGGATTTTAAAATGACAGAGTAGCAAGGAACAATTGAGATAATCAAGCGGCCAAATGAAGAGACCTACACAGAGACATATTGTAATCAAATTCCTTAAAACCAGGAGTAAAGAGATTTTAAAACGTACATTCAAGTACTAAAAGAAAAAAAAAATTCTGTCAGCCTGGAATTCCATACCTCTTAAGTATGTATTTTAAAAATGAATATGAATTAAACTTTTCCAAACATATAAAACCTGAAGGAATTTAACAGTAGCAGACTTGCATTACAAGAAATACTAAAGGAGGTAGTCCTTCAGCCAGGTGAAAATATGGCTATATAGAAATGGATGAAAAGTACCAGTAGTGATACTTTATATATATAAATACAAGGATTTTTTCCTATGGTTTAAGTCTCTTTAAAGTATAATTGGCTATTTAAACAAAAATATTATGTACTAGAGTCCTGGTGTGTCATAATTTAAATAACTTTAATAGAGAATTGGCTATTTAAACAAAAAAAAAATTTACAGTAAGTTTATAATATATATATAAAATATATTTTAATAGAAACACAAAGGGTAAGAAGTAGTATATTGTCACTTGAAGGTGTAAACTATGATAATAGTTATTCAAATAACCATTACCAGTCCATTTAGGAATCTTCGTTTAGTGCTATAGGATAAACTGTGGATTGCTTATCAAAATATCGATGGTTCAATCCCACCAGCCACTCCTCAGAAACCCTTTACACAGGGTCACTATGAGTCTAAATCAACTCAGTGACACTTAACAACAATAGCCATTTGAGCTCACTAAAACCTTGTTAAGTGCTGCAGAGTTAGTTCTGAGTCTTAGCTACCATGTATGGGGTTTCCAAGGAGCTACTGATGAGTTTGAACCACCAACTTTGTGGTTAGCAGTCCAGTGCTTATCTATAGCATCACACCAGGACTCCTCACTGATGCCTAGAATAGGTGTACCCTTCCTTGTAGGTGTATGGATATTATCCTATCATTGACAGCTTTGTACTTCAAAATAGATCTTGAATTGTTCCTTCAAACAGAAGATGCAATACCATTTCCTCTTCAGTCTGTCATTCCTGGACATTTGTCTGATTTGAAATAGCCAATACCTGCCCGTTTCAGCTCACAAATACCTAGGATGTCGATATCTATGCATTCCATTTCATTTTTGATAACTTTCAATTTTCCTAGATTCATACTATGTACATTGTATATTACCATTATTAATTCTGAGTCATGCCATATCAGCAAATGAAGGTCAGGAAAGCTTTGCACCGTTCATGTCATGTTATCAGGAAGGAACAGTTCTGGAGAAAGACGTGTTGGGTAGCAGTTCATCAGCAAAAAGGAAGATCCTCAATGAACAGACTGATGTAAAGGCTACAACAGTGGGCTCAAACTTAGGATCAATTGTGAGGTGTAGAACCGTGTAGTGTTTCATTCTGTTGTTTACAGGGTCACTTTGAGTCAGGACTGGTAGGATGGTACCAGACAGAAAATAATTATGCCTAGGATATCTGTCTTCAAGCATTCCATTTCATTTTTGATGACTTCCCAATTTTTCTAGTCTCATACTTCAGATCATTAATGGATGATCACTATTGTGTCTTCTCATTTTGAGTTATGCCACCACATCAGGAAATGGAGGTCCCAAAAGTTTTACTCCATCCATATCATTAAGGTCAACTCTACTTTGAGGAGGCAGCCCTTCCCCAGTCATATTTTGAGTGTCTTATAATCTGAGGGCCTCATCTTTGGCATTATATCAGAGAGCGTTACAGCTACTCGTGTGGTTTTCACTGACCAGTGTTTCTAGATGTAGACTATTGGGCCCTTCTTCCTAGTTTGTTTAAATCTGAAAGCTGTACTGAAACCTGTCCGCCATGGGTGACTCAAAATACCAGTGACATAAATAGCTTTCAGCATCACAGAAGCAGACAAGGCATCACACTATGACAAAGTGACAGACAAATGGTTGTGCCCTATATGATAGGGTGACTAATTTTTATATAATTAATTTGAAAACTGATTTCTTACTTAGGATCATTTCCATAAAGTTTTAAGCCACTGGAAAAAAACCCAGTGTCATCAAATTGATTCCAACTCGCAATGATCCTACTGCTTAGGGTTTCCGAGACGAAATCTTTACAGAAGCAAAGAGCCGCATCTTTATTACCCCAGAGTAGCTGATCAGCTTGAACTACACCAGCCTTGTAGTTAGTAGCCAAATGCTTTACCTACAGCACCACCATGGCTTCCTATTCATCAGACTAGCAATGTACATTCCTTTAGTAGAAGCTGTTTGTGTGGCCATTTGACTAAGTCAATAAAATTTCATAAAATGCAAGTCTGATCTTGTAAAGTTGTGTTACCATTCTGCTTGTACAAATTTTTTTCTGCTTCCTTCATTACCCTGTGTTTGTCTTTGATTCATCTTTATTTCATGGTATTATTTCAGAGTTGGTTTTATATTTGTCCTTTTTTGGGGAGAGTAGAAGTGCAATGTTAAAATGAGTGTAGCTATGACTAAGTATAGAAATGAATGGATCATTTCTGTAGACTCTTAGCCTAATTAAATTTCAAATAAACCCTTGTTGTTGTTGTTGTTGTTATGTGCCATGGAGTTGGTTCCGACTCATAGCAACCCTGTACAGGGTTTCCAAGGCTGTGAATCTTTACCAGCGCAGAAAGCCTCATCTTTCTCCCGTGGAACAGCTGGTAGTTTCAACTGCTGACCTTGCGGTTCACAGCCCAATTCATATAACCACTATGCAGCCAGAAATTTTTTAAAAATTAATATAATTGAAAATTATTTCTAGTTATTTTCACATTTATTGTTGGGCAGAAATATATATACTTTGAAATGATGAGTAGAAATTCTCCAGTGTTAATTACTCCAGCTCCCTGGGTGACACAATGTTTTTCTCTCAACTACTAACCTAAAGGTTGGTGATTCTACTGTGTAACATAGAGGCTCACCATGTGTCAGAATCAGTGTAACATCAGACTGTTTGGATGTTTTATTCTTTGTTTTTTTAATCTGAATTGCCCTTTGAGATTTTTGTGAGTGAATGTTTTGGTTGTAAAAGGCTGCATATACTTAATAATTGACAGGAAGGGTGCATAGTCAAAGCAGGAATTACATAGAAATGCTATGAAGATAGACTGGTGTAAAATGTGCTGTTTAATAAAGTGAAAGTCATTCTGAAGTTCATAATATGCCTTGTTCTTTCCTTTCTACAGAGTGTGTATAAATGTGACTTCCTGAACTTACAGCTTCAGCAACCACTCCAGCTTGCCCAGGATGCTATAGATGCCTTTCTGAAGCAGCTAAAAAACCCTATTGACTCTCTTCCTGGAGAGCTTTTTCATGTTGTTGTTTTTTCTCTCCTCCTTTCTTATTTTCCATCACCTTACCAGCGATGGATATGCTGCAAGAAAGCTCATGAACTGTTAGTTTTAAATGGTTTATTACTTATCATCACACCTGATTCATCCCATCAGAACCGCCATGCTATGATGATGAAAAGCTGGAAGATTGCTATAGAGTCTCTGGGCTTTAAACGTTTCAAGTATTCAAAATTTTCACATATGCATCTGATGGCATTTAGGAAAATCTCCCTAAAAACCACAAATGACTTGGTTAGTAGGAACTACCCAGGAATGTTATATATTCCTCAAGATTTCAACAGTATAGAAGATGAGGAATATTCTAACCCTTCCTGTTATGTTCGATCAGATATGGAAGATGAACAGCTAGCATACGGTTTTACAGAGCTCCCTGATGCTCCGTATGACTCAGACTCTGGAGAAAGTCAAGCCAGCTCCGTTCCTTTTTATGAGCTAGAGGATCCCATATTACTCTTAAGTTAATATAAAAGCAAAGACCCTTTAAGTCCAGACTCCTACTACACTAATTGGAAATACTAATAGAAGTTTAATACTTAAAACCTGGTTTGATAGGAGAGCTGCAAAGTTTACAAAGTTTGCTATTTTTTTCTACTCCTCAATTTTAAAATTTATTCTTATATAGAAAGCTTAAAGTTTCATGCAGTGATTCCTGTCATCACAAAAACCACTGATACTTTAGTATTTAGCACTAAAATACTTTAGAAAGGTACCTTTTTCTCTTCCATGCTATTGTGAAAAAATGAAGCATAATTTGCTCTGTATTTTCCTTTTCATCAACTTTTCACTGTTGACATTAAACCAATGCAATGGAAAATTTTAAGATTTGTAGAAAGCTATAGGTTGCACTTTGATGATTCACAAGTTAAATGTAACACAAATTGCTTTAGCTTGGTGATGCACTTGTCTTTTTACCCCCTAGCTAAATTGTTGTCAGTAGTAGAAAACCATTTTCTGTTTGGTTTGTCTGATGATTCAGTATTTCCTTAACTTTTTGGAATTGGTGATAATTCACTTTATCTTTATTTCTTCCATAAAAGCTCATTTGACAGCATCAGACATTGGGAGAGAGGCTTTCCCACATATATCTTCTAGTTTCGTTAGCACAGTAATAATAAACACCATTGCCAAAGTAGTATTTTGGATCTTGGTGTAAAATATACTTACGTTTTGAAAGTTTCACTTTTAATTTTTTCTGATTTAAGTTTCATTGACAAAATTTTCTGTTTAGGCAAGGCATAATATAGTACCTAATACTGACCTAGAACACCTTTGTGAAAGGGTTTGCACTTATAAAAGAGATTATATTCTAACTAGACCAAATTTGATAAAGGTTCTCACCTTTCCACTAAGGAGGTGTGCTACAATGCAAATCTGGATTTACAGAGAAAAATCTATAATTAACCGTCTTCTGGTAAACTCATGAAATGGTTTTGACCTTTGGTGTTCTCATTTTCATCTAAATTCTAATAGAAAGTTTTCTTTGAAAAAATAAATCATTAGTTGATGGCCATTAGTTGGCATTGAAAAATGTCTTTCTGTGTTTCTGAATCAGAAACAAATGATTAAGGAGAACTGTATGTCCAAACAAGACAAGATTGGTTTTAGACAGCTAAGAACATTAGGCCACATTGTCTTGTCAACCAGCAACTGTCCTGTAAACCGTCATTTTTAAGAGTGCCACTGTGTGGATTTTTTTTTTTTTCAAGTGGTTATTACATTAAAATTACCTCATAGTGAGGTTTTTGCACTGAAATATCACAGTTTCAGATTTCATGGTTAATGTGTGTGTGTGTGTGTGTGTGTGTGTATGTTTTTAAAGGAAACTTGCATTTTTAGTAGTTGATCCTAAATTTCATAAACTGCACTTCTTTACTCTGGTAAAACTGATGTCTTTGTGCTTATTGTGATTTGCTGTAGTTAACTTTGAATGTCAAACTTTATTTCGAAATATAAAATTTATCCTCTAAGATATAAACAGTTGAGCATGTGTACCAATATTTCAGATTAAATTTCACATGCTAAATGAATGGAAGGAACAAGATTGTAATTAACCCAAAAAGTCAATTGACTAAATGCAATAAATGTTGATTGCTCAAATATACCAGAAGTAACTTGGAATTTTTCATTTACTTTCAATAGCATAAGATTTCCTTACTAATCATGGTGGCTTTCTTTCAGTTAAGCACTGCAGGGTCCTATCTTGTAACTCCCTCAAAAGAAAAAAAGTGCTATATTCAGGATAACACAGAACTGTGTTTTTGAAAATACCTTTTTACAAGTACCATACTCTTGTTTTCTCTAATTTAGCTGAATGTGTTGTTAAACGCAAAGAAAGCAATGTATCGAATGAATGTGCTTTGAAAGTAAATGAAAACAGTGCTTTTGATGAGGGGCTAGTATAAGTATGACCTTGGAGTTAGCCTTTGTGTTACAGCTAAAATGTTGGTGCTATATTCTTCTGATTGTTTACAGATGTTGATTCTGCTTATGCTCCTAAGTGTGCATGATGGATTTTAAGTAGTACTTTAAAGAAAAGTCTCTTTTTAAAGCCTACTACCACTTAGTATAAATTTGTTTGAATTTATAAGTATTGTTTGTTACTGTAAATTCATCTTAGTCAAATTAGGTTGGCAAGGGATTTAAATCAATATATATTCCACCAAAGCCAGTTCAGTGTATAAGTGTTGAAATATAAGCAGTCATATGGCTTGGTGCCAGATTATACATGTGATGACAAGAAACATCAATAGGACCTCCTGATATTATACAGGTACTCTTAAAGAAAAAAAAAGAAGAAGAAGAAGCTAAGGGGCCACCTGTTACACTCAGCAGGATTCTCCAAAATGATTTGGTGTTTCAAAAATAAATGATGGTCACTTGGTTGTATTCTTCAAGATCATGACTTGATCAAGTAGTTTATACCATAGTTGCCAAGTTGAGGGAGGTGGCATAACAGAAAATGTATGTTTGTGTTTGTATTTTTTCACATTTTGTGAACAAAGCACATTTATTAAAAATTTTAAATTTTCTAATATTCTTTGTTTATTACTTGTAAACAGAAAGTGTGGTCTTTTGCTTAAGTATTCCAAACTTGAATTAATTTTGGGATTTCCCAACTGAGTTTCATCTAGTCTGATTCCTTTATCTGTCATCATTGTATGAGAGAGGAGTCAAATGACTTCCCCATTGTCATGCCTTGTCATGCTTTTTATGGCCGAACCAGACCTCCAGCATATCTTCTCATTTATTGTATGTCAACCATATCATACTCTTACTTCCTTGCAAATTGACTTTTGTCAGAGAGAATTTAGTATGTCAATTCTTATTGGACAGCAAATGGCTTTCTCGTGATGAGAAAGAGGGCTTTATGTGTTGAACAAACATTTGAACTCTACCTTGTGCCATATGCTGGAGAGAGAGCAGGGCCCTGGGTGGTCACAGCCCCACCCTTGATGGAGCTTACTGGAATGGAGAAGACAATCCTATGTGTATTTAGTATCTGCCTTTAGAGATTATTGCCTACTGATCCTACCACTTTGACCCACTTAAATCCTTAAATTTGTTAACGAGAAACAGAGCAGAAGGCAAAAAAAAATTAAGCACACACACTAAAAAGATTGCTTAGAAAATTGTAAGCATGTCTTAGATCAGAGGAAAGTTAGATTGTTTGTCCATCTTTTTTTTTTTTTAATGCAAGCTAAATAAAAATTATTTGATTATGAAAGTTGGCAAAAGAGGGGGTGGAATCAAGCTCCTCTGTCTATAGTTTTTTGAGCAATAGTGCTACAGGAATGTAAACACGACCTTGACCAGCATCAGTTATTTCTCAAATTCCTGTTCCGTGTAACACATCTCTATTGGGATTCGTTTGCAAAAGACAGAACTAAAATATGGGAAAACAAAAACAAATCATTGCTTCCAAATTGCCATAAGCCTTTTCACTGGGAATTTAAGAGAGAACATTTTCTCCAAAGTCTACAGAGACAAAACAATTCTCAGAGATAAGGTCACTGTGTAATTTCTTAAAAAGAAGAGAGGTGAAATCTTTGGGTGGTGCAGAGTTAACACACAACTGCTCATAGGAAGGCTGGAGGTTTGAGTTCATTTAGAGGTGCCTCAGAATAAAGACCTGGAGATCTACCTCCAAAAAGTCAGCCATTGACAACTATGCAGCACAGTTCTACTCTGACACACCTCGGGTTGCCATGACTCAAAATTGACTCAATGACAACTGTTTTTTTAAAGCAGGTCAAATCTTGGAGCCTGCCTGCAAGTATAAAGATGCTTGGGAAACATACTTGAAAACAGTGTGTCTAACTTTAAAAGGAGCTTTCTGTTCTCCCACCCCATAGACGCATTAGCACACATTAAAGTATCAAAGGTGCAGGTTGCCCTGGAAACAAAGTGGGGTCCTGGGATTTGAAATAAGGTACATCTTGATAGAGAGGAAAGCATAGTGTGGAGCTTGTATGACCGAGTATTATCAAAGAAGGGGACTCTGTTGGCCTGGAGAATGAAGCCAAATAGAATGAGATGCAGATGGGAGGTCAGATAGCACAAACCATCCCATGTGGATACATACTGAATTGATAATAGCAATTTTATACTTCAAAATTTTAAACAACTTTTATAATAAAATGAATAGATGCATTTCTCCCTAAAATATTTCAAGTGTAAAGCAACGTTTTAAGTCTTTAGTATAAACAGTACAAACCTTACAAATAAATACAAGTGGATAGCAATGCTTCTGTAAGTTAACTTCACTTCCCACCAAAATGAAGCAAGAAATTCCAAAGTGAGCAAGCACTAGCTTCTTGTTGTTAAGTGCTCCGGAGTCAGTTTAGAATCATAGAGACCTTGTATATGGTTTCTGAAGTTGTAAATATTTGTGGAAGCAGAAAGGCTCATCTTTTTCCCACAGAGCAACTAGTAGGCTTGAACCAGCAACCTTGCGTCACAGTTTTTACATTGTATTATTTAGGACTTAACAATCACATTGGACTAAAGTACTGTTCTGTTCTGCTTTGCTCTGCTCAACTCTTTAGGAATTGACAATGTAACTTAAGAAAAAGTGCAACAAATTAAAACATCAAGAAAATAAATGATACATATTGCGCTGCAGCATATGGTGGTTGTTGTAAAGTGCCCACCAGTCAATTCTGACCCATAGAGACCCTGTATAGTGTTTCTCAGAGGAGCAGCTGATGAGCTTGAACCACTGACTTTGCAGTTCAAACGGCTTTACAGTCTGGCACATTAACCCACAGCACCATACCAGCATATATGGTGGTACCTGTCAAACCAGAGCTCTGGTATCATCGTGGTGGTGGTTATGTGCCATGGAGTTGGTTCCAACTCATAGCAACCCCTTAGAGGATTTCCAAGGCTGTAAATCTTTACGGGAGCAGAAAGCCTCACCTTTCTCCCGCAGAGCGGCTGGTAGCTTCAAACTGCTGACCTTGAGGTTAGCAGCCCAACTCCTACTACTCT